AATTTTTCAATGTTTCCTTTTAACGGGGAGGAAGGGGATGATGGTTTAGGCTGAAGAATGGTCGTGACTGTTGGCAGGGAAGAGAAATAATGCAGGTGATTTCTGTTTGGTGAGAAGGAAGCACCGGCATCCCGGGGCCCAGCCTACAGTCTCCCCTCTGCCTCGTCGGTGCAGACGGCGTTCAAGGGGACATATGTAGGTTCCATGTATTGTCCAGATATCACAGGCGGACCTGAGAATCCCTGGGCACATTGCACGGACCATCTATTTTACTGACTGCTCAGAGGCTGGAGCCTAGCCAGGCGTGGTGGCTCACGCCTATAATCCCAACAGTTTGGGAGGCTAAGGAAGGAAGATCGCTTGAGGCCAGGAGTTTGAGACCAGCCTGGGCAACAGAGCGAGATCCTGTCTCTAAAAGAAAAAAAAATTAAAAAGAGCTGGAGTCTCCAGAAGAACTAACCCTCCTGTAGCCGTGCTTAGCAGGACAGGGCAGGTACCGTGCTAAAAACCACCTCAAGTCCTGCTCCTCCTGTTGTGTTCCAGAGGGGAGAAGAGTCAACACTGCTGGGCTGAATAAAATCAGCAGCTTATTGTGCCAACGGTGGCGCAGGCCTGTGGTGCCGTGTTTGGCCCTTGGCCTGCTGACTCAGTGGCTGCCCTGATTCTCCGAGTCTCTACTGAGAACCAAAGTGGTGGACCCCTGGCTAACGAGCGGCGCCCGCGAATCCCACGTGCCCTCCTTCCCTTATACACAGCCTGCATGCCCGGAGCTGTGTGTGGGTGACTGAGTATAACTAGAGATAGTGGCGACAGTTCACAGGACTCTTCACCTCATCACGCTGGGTGTTGGGACTATTTAGGAAACCAAGCCACTGCTGCGAAGTGAGATCCTGGAAGAGTGAGTGCGGAGGGATAGTCAGTAAGATGTTAAGTCTGACTGGGCCTGTTTGGCTCAGAATAATTATCTAGAAGGAAAAGAGGTGGGCCTCAACCTTTTTGATGTGTTTCCACTTTCCAAGACCTGCTGGCCGCCTTTTACTCCTCAGTCCCATTTGAGGAATGTTTTGAGTGCCGAGAGCCTGGGAGAGGCATGTCCTCCACGGTACCAAAGAGTCAGTGGCTGCTCCTTATTTCCGGACAAGATGTCCCTGACTTGGAACTTACTACTCAGGAAACAACACATGGATGTGGTCAAGTCCCCCTACTGCCCACGCCCCCGTGCCTATCCGAGAACACCTCAGAGACCCCCACGTGTTAGTGAACATAAGTCCTCCCTTGCTAGAGGGGGAACCAAGACTTGTAAAGAGGAACAAGTGAGTTGGGTTTTTTTTCCACCTGGAAGAAAGTCTACAGTTGACTATTACCTTTTCCTCTGACCCTCTTTAAAAAGCAGGTTGTGTTGCAGCAGCTCTTGCTGAAGTGTTGTACGGCCTTTTGTCTCGAGGACTTTGAAACTAGCATTGTTGATTTTTCATTTTTCCTGGCAACCCTCCCTCCTATTCCCCTAGTGTTTTATATTCACTGTCTGGATGATTTAAATACAGTAGCTTTTGGTATAGACATCCTTTTGACTTTCCCCATAGCCTGAACCTTAGGGATATCTTCTTTCTGAGAGTAAGTAAACACATGTAGAGCAGAAGCAGAATGGCTTTGTTGTCAGCAGAGGGAAAACTCCACAAGCCCGCAAAGCGCCACCACCTCTGCTGCACTGGAACATCCGCGCCTCCAACAGACCGACCTCTGTGTTCCGGAGACACCGTGCAGGATCAGAGTGTCTGTTTGTTATCCAACGGGTATTAAAGGGAAATCATTCTTTCATATCATTAGAAGCCCTGTGCAAACACAGCCCCATGGACGGAGGCCTTTCCCAAGCCCATTACAAGGAGCTGTTTGTCCTGGCTGCCTGTCTTTAGCAGTTGGAACAGAACCAAGCCGACGGTGGTGTCATGGGCCCTACTGCGATTTTGCTTTCTTGGACCAAAGTGTCATGGGACTGAGCTCACCAGGTGGAAGTTGAATCAGAGCACCCACTGGGAACCTTCAGTAAATGCCACACGGAACAAGCTCGGAACTGTGATGGAACCTGGCAAAGAGCTTGCACCCAACCACAGAAAAGTCAAATGATCATTTCATACGTTTGCCTTTGTGCATGGGAATTGACTAGCCACACGTGCCGGCAATCAGGACTCGTGTCTGCCTGCAAATGATGCAACCAAAGAAACCTGGGCTCAGGATCAAACGTCTTCATCCTCACTGCCTTGAAGAACACAGACTTAACCCTGCAGCATCTGAACACTATTGAGGGTTAGTTTCTTCACCCAGGAGCATTTTGATCAGTTCAGCCCAGACCCGTGTGTTTTTCTGGCTGCTGGGATTCACTGAGTCCATTTATTCTGTCTCCTAGAGTGCCACTGTCCAGTTGCCACTTGCTGTACGTGGCTGTAGAGCCCCTGAAAGCAGCTAGTCTGAATTATGATGCGCTGTAAGGATAAAATGTGCTTTGGATTTGGGAAGTTTAGCACAAAAAAAAATGTAAACTATCTTATTAATAATTACATTAGCTACATGTTGGAGATATTTTTATCTATTGGGTTAAATAACATACAGTATTCAAACTCATTTCACCTATTTCTTTTTACTTCTTTTAATGTGGCTACTGGAAAATTTAAAATCACAAATGTAGCTCGTGTTGTTTGTATTAGACAGGGCTGGGCTAGCGCTTGAAGGAAGTTTAGGTTTGTAGTGCCATCTGCTGGCTCATCCAGAGCAGACGCGCATGTAAACAAGAATCTGAGCTAACCCACACATCTCTTAGCCTGGCAGCACGCAACCTTTTTATTCCAGGAGCTTCTGAAGCAGGACCAGACTGAACCCAGAAGCTGCTGAATCCCCAAGAGCCTCAGGAAGGGGAGTGACAGACCGCTCATAGGTGCAAGCCTATGTCAGCTCATGGGTGCCCGGGAGGCTCTTGAGGTAGAGTAGTGGTTTGCTGCTCACCTTCCGCACTTGAAGCTCTTTCATGCAATCTTTTTCACTGGTTGCTATTCTTAAGAAATATTTCAGGCCAGGCACTGTGGTTCACCCCTGTAATCCCAGCATTTTGGGAGGCCAAGGCGGGCAGATCACTTGAGACCAGGAGTTCAAGACCAGCCTGGCCAATATGGCAAAACCCCATCTCTACTGAAAATACAAAAATTAGCTGGGCGTGGTGGTGCACACCTGTAATCCCAGCTACTCAGGAGGTGAGGCAGGAGAATCGTTTGAACCAGGGAGGTGGAGTTTGCAGTGAGTCAAGATCACGCCACTCTACTCCAGCCTGGGTGACGCACCGAGACTCCCTCTCAAAAGAAAAAAGAAAAATATTTCAGGCCAGGAATTGTGGCTCCCACCTGTAATACCAACACTTTGGGAGGCTGAGGAGGGAGAATCACTTGAGCCCAGGAGTTTGAAACCAGCCTGGGCAACATAGTGAGACCTAATCTCTCTCTTCCCCCCCCCCCGCCCCCACCCCCATCTGGTGCAAGATCTCATCTCTACAAAAAAAAAAAAAATTAACCGGGCATGGTGGTCCCAGCTACTTGGGAGGCTGAGGCAAGAGGATTGCTTGAGCCCAGGAGGTTAAGGCTAGAGTGAGCTGTGATCGTACCACTCCAGCCTAGGTAACAGAACAAGACTCTGTCTCAAAAAAAAAAGAAAAAGAAAGAGAAATATAAGCAATCATTTAACAACATAGTAATGATGCAAACCCATCCTTCAGGAGACTGCTGTCCTCGCTTTAGATAATACTTACTTGCCTTGATTTGTCAAGAATTGGAATTTGTCAAGAATTGGAATTTTGCTAAGTACCTACATCCAATGTCTATTTTTGCATAATAAATCACCCCAAAACTTAATGACCTAAAACAATAGTAATCACTTAACACCTCTCACAGGTTCTGTGAGAAATGTGAATGTGAGTCAGGAAATCAGGAGTGGCCCATCTGAGCAGTTTTGGCTGAAGATCTCTAAAAAAGTGAAGTCAGATGTTGACTGGAGCTACACTCAACTGAAGATTTGACTGGGGCTAGAGAATCTTTTTCCAAGGTGGCTTGTTCACATGACTGGCAAGGTGATGCTGGTTGTTGGCTAGAGGCATCAGCCCCTCTCCACATAGGCTTCTCCACAGAGCTGCTTGAATGTCCTCGAGGCATGGCAGCTAATTTTCGACCTAGCCTCAGAAACTATACACCATTACTACGGCTGCATTCTGTTGGTCAAAAGGCAGGAAAATGCATCTCACCTTTTGATGAAGGAATGTCAACATTTCATTGGAAAATAAAGTCCCAGAGTGCCCAACACTTGTATAGCAATGTATGGCTTTTTTTAAATGCCCTGTTTTTCAGATGAGGAAATTGAATCTCAGAGAGGTGGAGTAGCTAGTCTGAGGTCTCAGGTCTGGTGAGAAGGATGAAAGTCTGGTTCTTCTGACTCCTAGTATATGCTGGTGAAGCCTATCCAAGTTATCTTCTCCTCTCTCCCATATGCTATTGTAACTGAGAATCACACTGGGTTTTTTGTATCTCCAGCATCTTCAGGATATGTGGGGCTGTCTTCATCCAGGTGCTTTAGATATGTCCCTATGTGGTATCTCCCTGTAACTTGTCATTTTATTGAGTTAGGCTGTAGGTCTTATGGAAGTACATTTCAACTAACTGGAATCTTTCTTACAAAAGTGCTTCATCAATGAAAAATGAAACATTTTCCAATATTGTTCATGCCATTTGCTTCAAAAATCTGAGAGACAATAACATTACAATATGTGTGTTCTTATTCTCTTTGATTATCCTGTTATTATTACATCTTATTTGTCCTTAAACAGGAAATAAGTAATCACTGCTTGCTTTCAGTAGTTTCCATATTACTTGGTCATCGTAAAAAGGAGGTTGTATCGTTTTTGATGTTCCGCCTGCCAGAATTAAAATCCAGCTGCCATAATCATTTTCTGTTATTCTTGGTTTCAGGTAAAACTTCCTTTTCCTGTAGATCAAATCACAGATCTTCCAAGGAATGATTTCCAGATGATGATTAAGATGCACAAGCTAACCTCAGAACAGTTAGAGTTCATTCATGATGTCCGACGGCGCAGCAAGAACCGCATCGCGGCCCAGCGCTGCCGCAAGAGGAAACTGGACTGTATTCAGAATTTAGAATGTGAAATCCGCAAATTGGTGAGTTGGCCCATCCATTGTGATCAGCAACCGGAAGTGACCAGGACCAATGTAAAAGAACAGCAAAGAAAGTTGGAAAAGTAGAAAGAAGAGTCATCCTTTGGGGAAGTTTGGGTTTATTTTTTAACAAGTTTCTCAACAGAAGTAATAGCTTTACATCTGCCGTGTGTGTGTGTGTGTGTGCGCGTGTGCGTGCACATGTGCACACACACGCAGATGTGTAATAGTGTGTCAATATTTTATATCCTTCAGTCATTATTCATATAGAGGTAGTTCTTTTTTATTTTTCATCCAACGTGAAAATAACTGATGTTGGCCAGGCGTGATGGCTCACACCTGTAATCCTAGCACTTTGAAAGGCCAAGGCAGGTGAATCACTTGAGGTCAGGAGTTTGAAACCAGCCTGGCCAACATGGTGAAACCCCGTCTCTACTAAAAATGCAACAAGTTAGCCGGGCATGGTGGCGTGTGCCTGTAATCCCAACTACTCAGGAGGCTAAGGCAGGATAATCACTTGAGCAGGGGAGGTAGAGGTTGCAGTGAGTGGAGATCGCGTCACTGCACTCCAGCCTGGGTGATAGAGTGAGACCCTGTCTCAAAAACATAAATGAATAACTGATGTTAATTATGAGCATTTATGGACCAGGTATTCTTCTAAACGGTTTTTGTGGATGATCCCATTTAATCCTCACATTAACGCTATGACTTAGGCACTCCTTTGTCCCCATTTACAGAGGAGGAAACTGCAATGCAGAAGGGTTGGGTAACTTCCCAGTACTTGGTAGAACTTGAATGCAAACCCAGGTGTCTGATTCCAAATCGTGTCTTGTACCACTGCTTTCTCCTGCCTCCTGACAGAAGAGAATGGATTCGAGATAGGACGCCTACCTGCAGAGGGGCCATTGCTCAGGAGATGATCTCCTGGCATCCTTTGCAGCCCCAGGGTCCTTTCTTTTGCAGTTCTGCCTCAAGGTGGCTGTCATAGCCATCCCTGTGCCTGAGACTGTTTTGTCACAGGAAACAAACTCCCGTCTCCCAGGCTCCCCCATATACTCAGAGCTATGTGCCCCCACCCCTTCTCCTTGATAAGCAGCCATAAGCTACAGAAAGTAAATCCAGGTGACCTCTGGCTCCTGACTGTAGCTTTGAAGGCAACCAACTCAACCTCCTTCAGCTCTACCTTTCTGCCACCAAATAACAGAAACTCATCTCAGGTGCCATGTCTGTGTCAGGCTGAAGAAGAGGGAGGCCGCATGGTGTGGTCATGATCTAAGTGTGGCTCCTCAGACTGTTTGCAGCACCCTCTGGCCTCATGGTGAGCGACCAGCTGATGAGAACCAAAGCGCAAGGATGAGATGTTAGAAAAGCACAGGATATATGTTATCAAGATAGCCCTGGACTTCAGGGTTTTTTGTTGTTGTTGTTGTTGTTGTTGTTTTGTGTTTTCTTTTTTTTTGTTTTTGACACTCAACAACCAGGGAAAATGTCTGTCTTTAGTAGCTCCCATCACCGACAAAGAAAGTCCAAGCTTCTTAGTAGGACCTCTCCTGCCCTTTGTGTTTCAGTCTGTAGCTGCCTCTCCAGTGTCACCATCCACTCCCTTCCTAGGACTTGATCCCTGATAAAATCAATCTCTGCACTTGTGCCTACACCGTTTCCTCTCTATCTTGGACATCCCTCTACTTTTTCTATCTCCTTTGTTCTTTAAGAGTCAGGTCATGGCTGGGCACCATGGCTCACACCTGTAATTGCAGTACTTTGGGAGGTTGAGGCAGGAGGATCACTTAAGGCCAAAAGTTTGAGACTAGCCTGGGCAATATAGCAAGACCCCATCTCTGAATGAATGAGTCAGGTTATGCATCGCGTCTCTAGGAGGCCCCTTTCCTGAGTCCCCCGTTAGGCTGGGCACCTGTCCATGGAACCCTGATCTGACCTCTGGCTTAGTGTTTATCACTTACTCTTGAGTTATCTTCACATATGTCTGTTTCCCCAGCCCCCAGCCCTCAACTGTCGTGTTCCTCAAGGACAAGGACAGTGACTTGATCATTTCTGAATATCCAGTGTTGGACCCATTGCTGGGGTCAAGAAAATGTCTGTTGCCCTAAAATTTGCTGGATATTGTGACTTTTCAGTTCAGGGGATTATGAGTTTCTTCTTTCAAATATTTCTTTAACATTGTTTACTTTTGTTAAACAACAAAATTTAATTTAAATCACATAAGGAGACAACATGCCTGCTGGTGAGTGTGGGTCTTCTGAAAGCCTGCTGGGCTTAGGTAGTTAAGTCCACTGGGTGTGAGTCTACAGGGGCCTAGGCACATGTCTGTAGTGCCCTGCACTCCTCTTAAGGTAGTAAAATAACTTCAGTCACCCACATTTGAGAAATGCCTGGTTTTGGTAATTCGCATTCTGCTTAGTGTAGTGTTGTAATACTGAACAAATAAAATCCAAACCACAGACCAGGCAGATATCTAAAGCACTTTGCCAGCATTTTTCAACTAAAAAACCAAAAGAGCATCATCTAGTTCTCCAACCACTTTTTGGCATCCCTTAAATAATGCGTTGCGTTTCTGCTGAATGAGAACACACTCGTCAGTGTGCGTGTGTGACTTAGAGCTTCATGGTTTCAACCGAGGCGTGAGTTACACTGTCTTTCCTGCTGCTGTCACACGCAGCACCTCATTTTCTTCCCCCTAGAAAGTGGCCTGGAACATTTAACAAATGAGTAGGCCTGGAGGGGTCAGTGCTTTGGCCAGGGCAATGTGGCAGAATGATCCTGGGGTTCCTCTCCCAGCGCCCAGGCAGTATTGCCCCTCACTTTGCAGATTTCTGTACTAAAAGGGGAGAGCTCCAGGTTGCACAGCCACCCATACAAGTTTTCTCCCCCAGGAGACATCCCAGATGTGTTTTGTTTCTCATCTGCCACCCTGTGGCGGGGATGCAGTGTCCTGGCAGGGATAGCGTTGGTGGATGGAGCAGCTTCCACCTCTCCCCAGTCCCTCCCTGCCCAGTCCCCAGCAGGCCCTGCACTCACTCCCCACTCCCATGTCGTCTCCCACACACCCGCCACTCAGCTGTTGCAAACTCGCATAATGTATTTCTCTCAAGTTGCACTTCTACATCTGTTTATTTTTCCTTTTTAAAATGTATTTTCTTGATAAATTTATAAATATTTTAGCAGGTGCCCTTTCCCGGTGTAAATCTGTCTTTCCAACACACATGCCCACGCCGCCTGCCAGATTGCGTTCATGTTACGGCACATGCAGTTCCCGTGTCGGAGACCTGTTCCTTGTGCATGTTACATGCCTGCTCCTCCCTTTCTCCTCTTCATTTTCTCTCCCATCCTCTTCTCCTGCCTGCGCTTGCAAAGGGTTGGTGAGAACTGACTTTATGCTGCTTCAGATGCCCCTTTTCTTCATCCACTTCATTGTGTGTGCCTCATGGAACCCCATCTCCTCCCCTCACCCTCACGCAATTTTTCTTTTTTTTTTTTTTTTTGAGATGGAGTCTCGCTCTGTCGCCCAGACTGGAGTGCAGTAGTGTGATCTCGTCTCGCTGCAACCTCCACCTCCCTGATTCAAGCAATTCTCATGTCTCAGCCTCCTGATTACAAGCATGCCCCAACACACCCAGCTAATTTTTGTGTTTTTAGTAGATACGGGGTGTCACCATATTTGCAAGGCTGGTCTCGAACTCCTGACCTCAGGTGATCCACCCACCTCAGCCTCCCAAAGTGCTGGGATTACAGGCATGACCCACCACGCCCAGCCCCCTTCCCACAAATGTTGATGGTAAAACCTTAATTAGTCTCCAGTCTGTTGCTGAAGTCATCTCTGTTGGGATGGTGAATTTCAGGAACACAAAAGCATGTGTAGGATTTTGTTTAAGGAGAAGAACATCTCAGAACCTTGGGCTAGTATGCAAGGGTTCAGGCTCCATCCTTCCTTCTCCCTTCCCGAGTCTGGGAGAATCGCTGCTCCAGACCCACTGCACATACCCCAGCTGTCCTAGAGAGGGTCCCTCCTGTTCAGTCTGCTCTGCTACCAAGGCCAGAGAGCCTGTGATGTTGGGTTCTATATGAAACTCCATATGTTAGGCAACCATAGGAAATTGCTGATGACTTTTTTTGGGTTTTTTTTTAAATACACTTTTTTTTTTGGTGGGGGAAGACAGGGTCTCGCTCTGTCACCCAGGGTGAGGGACACCATCTCACTCACTGCAGCTTCCACCACCTGGGCACAAGTGATCCTCCCACCTCAGCCTCCCAAGAAGCTGAAACTACAGGCGTGCGCCACCACACCTGGCTAATTTTTGTATTTTTTATAGAGAAGGGGTTTTGCCATGTTGCCCAAGCTGATCTCAAACTCCTGAGCTCAAGGGATCCACACAACTTGGCCTCCCATAGTGCTGGGATTACAGGTGTGAGCCATTGCACCCCAGCCTGGCTTACTTTTTTAGGAGCAGTTTTAGGTTCACAGCAAAATTGAACACACTATACAGAAAGTTCCCATATGTTCCCTGTTCCCACACACACAGCCTCCCCCACTGTCAGCATCCCGCACAAAGTGTCCACATGTTAGTCAATGAACCTACACTGACACATCATTATCACCCAAGTCCGTAGTTTACGTCAGAGCTCACTCTCGGTGTTGTACATTCTGTGGGTTTGGACAAATGTATAATGACATGGCCCTGCAAGTATAGTGTCATACAGAGGCTTTCACTGCCCCCACATCCTCTGTGCTCCGCCTCTTCAACCCCCTTTACCCCTGGCAACCACAGATCTTTTTACTGTCTCCATAGTTTTGCTTTTTTCGAAATGTCATGTAGTTGGAATGGTAGATTTTTGCCTTTCAAAAATGGCAACCTGATACATTTGGGGGAGATTTTCAATCACAAGATTGGGACTGAGAGTTTTTAACTTAACTCTCTACAAACCCCAAATCCCGGGAAACCAAAACATTGACTCTGAAGTTTTCTGATTGGTGACAGTTTTGCCCATTGTTTGCCTGGGCCTTGGAGAGGGATGAAGAGGTGTCCTGGGGAAGATGTTGGCGTCAGCAGCCCATCTGGATGGGCTGCTCAGATGGGAGGTGCGGCAGAAGCCCCTGTCTGGGCTCCCTGAATATGTGTCTTTTAAGTTTCTAGAGCCTGACCTAGTCATTCTTGAGTGACATTATAATGGAGGATGCAAAACAAAGGCTGGAAAACCTCCTGAAACGAGGCCTTCTGTCCTCCAGTTCAGGCTTGATCAACCCTTCTCTTTTTTTGTCTGCTGTCCAGGTGTGTGAGAAAGAGAAGCTGTTATCAGAGAGGAATCAACTGAAAGCATGCATGGGGGAACTGTTGGACAACTTCTCCTGCCTTTCCCAGGAAGTCTGCCGAGACATCCAGAGTCCCGAGCAGATCCAGGCCCTGCATCGGTATTGCCCTGTCCTCAGACCCATGGACCTGCCCACAGCCTCCAGTATGAACCCTGCGCCCTTGGGTGTTGAGCAGAACATTGCAGCCTCCCAATGCGCAGTGGGGGAAAATGTGCCCTGCTGCTTGGAGCCAGGCACAGCTCCCCCCGGACCCCCCTGGGCACCCAGCAACACCTCCGAGAATTGTACCTCTGGGAGGAGGCTAGAAGGCACTGACCCCGGAACCTTCTCAGAGAGAGGAGGACCTCCTCTTGAACCCAGGAGCCAAACAGTGACCGTGGACTTCTGCCAGGAAATGACTGATAAGTGTACAACTGACGAACAGCCCAGGAAAGATTACACCTAGTGACTCGGCTCTGCCTCCCGGTCTGCACACCTCTCCCATCCAGGCATTCTTCAGTCAGCCTGTGGCACTGTTCATCTGCTGTCCCGAAGAAACCGAGAACACATTTGGTGCACACTACAGCAGTCTTAGCAGCAATACTGTTCCGAAGTATTCTCTCCTCTTCTCGAGCAGGAGTGATAGATAGTTACCTTCACAATGGTGCTACCCCTTGCCCAGGCAAGGAAAGACAGCAGTGATGACACTGTCTGTCTGTGGCTCAATTTCAGTCTTCACAGGGATAGACTACAACACCTCTAGGCCCCAACCACGGATTTTTTTTCTCAGTGGCCCATGTCACAAACCCTATCTCAGGAATTTCTTCTGAATGTTCAATTTTTTTCATTGAAGACAGCTTCTATACACATCAAAGTTTTATAGCTAGACTGTACATATTATATATAATATATATATAAAATATATATATATATATCCATATGCAAAAGTCCTGCATGCCTCAACTTTCTCATCCTAAAACTGGAAACTTATTTCTCATTTAGAAACAGGTTCCAACATTCCTCTTCTTTTGTCTCTGATGCTAGAACTAGTTTGGTAACTGTTAACATGGTCATTTTTCTTGCTTCACAGTTCAATTTTCAATTTGTACTTATTTATGGACAAAATTCAGTGTTGGAAGCTTTTTCCCAAGGTTTTAGTTCAGATTTCTTTTTCGTTTGGTTTGGTTTTGGCACCACCACGTGGTGTCATTTGAGTATTGTGGGTTTGTTTTTTGTTTGTTTGGGGGGGGGGGGGGGTTGTTTGTTTTGGGTTTTTTTGTTTTTTTTCCTTGCAGATACTGTACAGTAATGGTCAACTTTGCCACTTGCACTGAGTTTTGGGTCAAACCTATTTTCTTAAATGAAGTTGTAACTTCAGTATAACTCAAGTATACTGTATGTTCTTTGCTTTTAGTTAAAAAAGTAAAACATTTTAGCTAATTAAAAAGCACTCAGGTGATAATTATGTAGGAAAAACAATCTTGCCAAATAATGAATTCATCCTAGGATGTGTAGACAATAATCTGCTTGAATATTTTTATATTTCACCTCCTCCCCACCTTTCCCTAAGCAAAGTTTAAATGCAGATAGAGAGTTCAGAGTTGATGCTGGATGTTCAGATTCCTAAGTGGGGAGAGAGTTTGGACATCTCACTCAAAAGTACATCAGAAAAACAGGAATCCATGATTTTATACCAGAACTCAGCAAGCATTGGCTCCTAGAAATCAAGCTAGAACGTTTTCACCCAGGGAGTAAGTCCCATTCATTTCAACACGTCCTGAGGCCTCGGCTTGCTTTGGAAGTGTTGTGCTGTAGGACCTGCCCCCCTGAAGGACGGGGCCAACCAGCCACCGGCTTTCCTGCCCAGGCTCGGCCTCCCAGGACATCTGGCCTGAGGGGATTTGAATCACAGCCCCGAAGGTCCTGCCTTCACCCTGTTGGGAGAGAGCAGGGCATCCTGGCATCTGCGATCCATCCCTGACACAGGCTGACACATTCTTTCTCCTTTCCTTCTCCAAAGGCTTGGAGTTGTCTTCTGAGGTTTTTCTGCCAGTCCCTTGTCTGAAGGCAGACTTCATTCTGAGGCTTTGGACAAGCTATCACCGGGAGCCCTCCCTGTCCCCTTCCCGAATCACACATATACCCTACCCTCACCTGATGATAATTTTCTCTTCTTGTTGCAAAACTGGTTGACTTGCAACCCAGAGAGAGCAGCTTCCCTTGGCTCTGGGGGCGTGTTGGCCCCAGCCACGTTTACAGGAAGGTGTGCCCCAGAGGAGGAGGAATCAGCTCCCTCGCTCCAGTGGCCTTGGGTCTGGGTCTCACTGAGCAGCCCAAGGGCCACTCCAGCCCGGCTGGGGAAGAGAGTCCTGAACGGTTTGATGTGGGGACGGGGTGGTGGGCAGTGGGGAATAGATGGTTGACTTTGTTTCTTTCTTTGTGCCATTGTTTGGACAATATTAAAGCTGCATGTAAAAGGGGAAATTAGTATACGATGTAGGCAAACAGTGAAATCATAGTAACATATGTTTTAGTATTATTAACTTTTTTCTGTACAAATATTAGCACTAAATGTTTAAATATGTATGAATGCCAGAAATTTGTCAGTTCATGCAGTAGGATAAAAAAGAAAAAAGGCTCTTTTTAAACAGTTCCACTTTTAAAACCTGCCTCTGGGTTTTTGTTTTCTCTCGTGTGTGTGTGTGTGTGTGCGTGCGCGCGTGTGTGTGTGCTTGTCTGAAACAGACCTTTTAAAGCTCTGTGTTGGAGCTGCTGGTTTTTGTTATGGTTGTTGGAATTTCTTGGCCTACTAGGACAGTTCTGTGCTTCGCCGTGAGGTTTGCCTTTGTGGAAAACTGGTGACAGCGAGAATATAAACTCAATGTGAATCACGTGGTACTTCACAGGCGTGTGTTATGGTGGAGTCAGCTGACAGTATTTTGCTTTTACTATTCTATTGTTGCCTTTCCAAGTGACCTCTCCTCTTCTTTTAAAAAAAGAACACTTTCTGCTTATGTCATAACCAGGTCCAACCCAGCTTCTTCGCATGAGGTTTACCCTGGTAACAACTCATGTGCAACTGGTAGTCTTGACCACATTCCATCCATTTCCCCAGGTTTCTATGTTCAGTAGCCCAGACCTGTTTGGCAGTCATTTCTAGGAGGGGCAGGGTCTCTTTATTTCTCTCTACCCTAACTCAGACCTCACCCTCCTCCCACTAACCCCTGCCTCGCTTTTCTTCCTCTTCCCCCAACCTAACTTCTGCCATGGGAACTGGTTAAAAACACTGCTCTGAAAACCATCTTCCAGTTTCATAGGGATTTCTAACAAGTTGTTTCATTCATAATACACCATGAACGGTGACTAGCCTCGTGCAGTTGTTCATGTGATGTGTGCATGTCTTTTCCTATTCGGAACTGTGTGCTTGTCAAAATTATTTCTGGGTTGATTCAAAGGGAGGACTTGCTGGGGACCAGAATCCAAATGGCCTCAAGTGGAATTTTAAAACCCAGCCTGTCTCTTCCCTGGGATCCGTCGGTCAACCCTATGCCTTTTAGGAAAAAAAAAAAAAGCAAGTGAACAGCAAGGAAGAGTGTTTGCACAGTACAGTGACATTTGGTTGTTTTTAAGGCTCTTTTACAAAAATAAGAGACCCTTCAACCACAGGCTGTTTAGGAGGATGCCTGCTTGGGTCTCCAAATGGCTGGGGTAGGAATGGTTGTTGGGGCAGAGCCAGTGGAGATGACCCTGAGACTAATGAACATCCCACCTAAATCTAGTCCTCCCCTTGGATCTGCCTTTGTCCTGCTTGTGTCTCCAGGCAACCTCTCTTCAAGTTGGTCAGGCTTTGGGCAGGTGAGTGCTTTGCTGTATGTGTTTGTTTCTCTGTGTTATCTGGGGGTGCCTTGATTAAAACTGAACTTCATTACATACTGATTCTGGAACAAAACTGTTAGAAAAACTTAAAAAAAAAAAAAAAAAAAAAAAAGGCTGACAAAGTTACGAGGCCATCCTGCTACTTCTCTTCTGAGTTCCCAGCAATGACTCAGGCGTCAGAGGCGATGCTGCAGTGGAAAACCTGACTCTGTGTGTCTGCAACTGTATGTTGTGCGAGTAATTTATTAACTGTCTTTCTAAAGGTTTGCTGCTTTTAAGATGCACTATAATTCAGGATGTAATCCTTATATTGCTTTTCCAAGGAAGTAAAAAAAAAAAAGGCTAGTGATTAGTATGACAACTGCCACTACTCCTTCAAAAGGAGCCAGGACCAGCGACAGGACTCATAAGAGGACTGGCTAAAGTGAAGTGTGCACAGTGTGAAGTTTAATGCTGTTGTCAAGAGGCCTAAACCCACATTTTCTCTTTTAATATTTTATGATTGCCATCAAAGAAGAAGAAAAAGAAGGAACAGGCAAAGGTTTGAAAATGATAAGCCTGTTAAGACACCAAAAACTCCTGTCCCGCGAAGCTGCTTGACATCCTGTGGAGTAGCATAATCCTCTCAAAATGAGGAAGAGCTGCCTGCAAAGCTTTCTCAAGTCCCTATTTGGCTACCTACTTCTCCACATTATGCCCCATTTAAACTAGGAGCTGTTTTAGAAATGACTTCAAACTGCTCTACTGTTGCTTACAGTTTAGGAGGAGTCTCAGATCCATAAAGGAGCAAGAATCAAGTTTGGTCCTCAAATGACTGTAAATAGACTAAAGAACAAGGTGTTTTTTTGTTTTTGTTTTTGTTTTTATTTTTTAAGAATAAAGCTGTTCGTTGTACCATGAGTTAGTGTTTCTTCCCCAGATTGAACACTGTGTTGGAAGTTCGATTTCTGGTGAGCCAGTCCACAGTACAATGCCCTGTTGTGGAGTTGGTATCCATACAGGAAGTCTGTGTGCACGAAGCATTGTGTGTTGAAAGTGTATGTTAATAGTACTGCCCGAGCCATCTCATGACCCCAGCATCCAAAACCGATGCTGTAGAACAGAACATATTTGTACACAAATAGTGTGTGCAAATAGCATTTGTACATAGAAAAGTCTTATTGTGGCAGATTGAGGATAAATTATTCAACTGACGGTGCAAAAACATTACTTGCAAAGAAAAGTAAGTTTATAATATTTTCCTACACTCCACCCTGGGAGATGATATTTCTATCAAATGAATATCAGTGCATTTTAAATGTAATATGAAAACGATGCTGCCATTTTGTGAAGAATACCCACTTGGTTGCAGAGGCCAACTTTCATAGCTTTGATTTAATGTTGTGACATGGTGTATGCATATCGCTGTCAAGCAATGGATAAACAGCTCTGACTTTCATTCTCATTCCAGTTTATTGACCTCAGATAAAACACTGGCCCTTCTTAGAAGCAGAAGTGCACCAAGACCATTCATTTCAGGTAGACTCACATTCAGTGCCAAGCGTTCCCATGGGAATAATCAGACGCATATGTTGCGAAAGAGTGAAGGGA